CTTCATTTTTTTAAGGAAAAAAAAAAGAAAAATATATTCAAATTGAAGTGCGAGAGTATATTCAAATTGAAGTGCGAGATGCCCTAATCATAAATTTTCTTACCTCAGCCCCAACCATTGTGGGGCTGAGGTGTGTGATTCCTCGGTCTGTGAAAGTCCCTCCCTCGTTCACCTCTCTTTCGAATTCCTGGATCTGCCACTGTTATTATATAATTATTTTTGCGCTTATTTATAATGCGTCTATTGCAATTTTCACTTTATCCTCTCAAACAATTTGATTGATTTGATTGATTTATTTATTTATTTTCCACATAATGAACAAAAACAAACATATACATGATCAAACATATTCAAAAAATCTATGTGGATGGAGACCACAATAAGTTTAAGAAAAACTTTAAGATGTGGCCACCATTAAAATAAAAATCCTAAGAACGTTCAGAGTGCGTTACTTCACAGGGGGATTTTCCCCCTTGACCCCGCCGGGGTCATACGTAATTCGCAAAACGGCTCCCCCCACCCTTTCAAAATCCTGGCTACGTCCCTGTCATGCATACTTTTTTAATAACCAGGTAGCCTACCTAATTATTTTATTTATTTTAAATTATTTTTTATACATCTAATCAGTAACTATAAAACTTTTGAATTATATAGTGGCATTTTAATATAGTCAGATTAAAAGCTTGTCATGGACTTTTCAATATTTTTTGCTAAATTATATGTAGCAGATTATTACTCTGTATCTATTTTAGAATAGTTTATCTGGACTATAATAATATATGCAGTTATTCTTCAAAACTTTGTCTTGTAGGATGCCCCTATACCGTACTGTTGTTGAATGGGCCAGCAGGGGCTGGTAAGACCGCCACTGTACAGACACTTGCGAAAGAAATGCACCTTGAAGTTCAGGAGTGGATTAATCCAGTAACAGATGTGTACCAGAATGATGTCACTCCAGGTAAGGAGCTGATTGGACAAACCAACAGCCAGCAATTATTTTGAGAATGGCAGATGATATATATCGATTTTAATTGGTATTTAAATGTGAAATTGCCGTCATTTTTTCAATAGAAAGTAAAAAAGTATTTACACATGTGTACCAGAATATTAATGTCACTCCATGTCAAAAGCTGATTGGACAAATAAATAGCAATTAATTATTTTGAGAACGTTACATTATGTAAATTGAAATTGGTATTGAAATGTAAAATTGCAGTTATTTTTAATAGAATGTAAAAATTATTATATATAGAAATATAATAAGGTTCTGAAGATTAATTTCTGTGATATAAAGACATTAGTTGATTAGCTTACTTTGTATATAATTTAGTTAATTATTAGCTGTCAATTAAACATCAGAATAAGAAAATGTTTTCCTTGTCAAAAAATAATAGAGGCAAAATGATATTTTGATTTTGTAAATACAGTATTGAAAATGTAAATCTATTTACATGATAGTAGTAGTTTAGATCCGTATGATAATGTACTGTAGAAATCCAATGTTCAAATTAATGAGTTTTATTTAATATTTTATCATGTTTGAGCACAAGCATATTTATCTGTGTTAAACTGATTTCAAAATTATTTTTCCCTGCCAGATTTTGGGGATTTTGCGGGTCAAAGGTATCAATCACACTCTTTTGGGATTTTATCACAAGAGCAAATATTAATCTCTGCAAATATTTGGAGAGAAATCATTAAAGAAGAAAGTTATTGTTATTGAAGTAAGTGTTTAAATGAAGGAAGAGATTTTATTGAAGATTTTTATGTCATTAAACAGTAAATTTACATTTTAGTGCATTACAGTAAAATACCCCAGGTGTATAACCATCCATTTACATTTCATAAACTTATAATGTGCTTTGTCTTGGAAATATTTTCTAAATAAACATACATTAAAATGCATTTATATATTTTTGTTTTCCTATCCCTTCCTTTTAAAATCAAAATTTTGTTATCAAATTGGATTTGAAATACAGTATATTAAGCATCAAAATAAACAAGGGAATTATTCAACCTTTTTAAATGTCTCCCTCTAGAAAATGATATACATATTATCTGTTAGTTCATATTGGTTTTCAGCCTCTTGTTGCAGTTTAGTATGATAACAATTTTGTTGTAGCATTCATTTTCAGACTTTGACCACTGTTGACTATTTTATGCAGTATCATGCTTCTGTTGATAACAATGGTGCCCTCATTGTTACATATTGATAACAAGGATCTTTAATATAATATTACAAGATAATATTCTGCATGTTTTTTTGCACCAAATCCTGTAACAACACAGTGTAGTGTGCCCTTTTGCAATTACAATTACTTTTTAACTTTGACCTCAATGAACTTTAACTAAAGATAGCCTATCTTGCGTTTTCTACATGCGAATTCTCTAACAACTATCATAACAACCTCTCTCAAAAACAATTACTTTTTATGCTTCCTTTTACACAAGGCTGATGCTTCTATTTGTTATGCGTAAAATCGTGGAGAGCGCTATCTTGTTATTATAAGATCTCTGATTGATAACAAAGGCGCCCTCATTGTTTTGTATTAACTCATGTTTGAGTTTCTGTGTATTGGAATCCATTCCATAAAAAAATTAATTTGCATTCATGTGAAGTGGATTCAATGTTAGAAAAAAAAAACTAAAATAAAAGTGAAATATATTTTTGTCATTCATGTTAGGCAAAATACATTAATAGACTAATGATATTTATTTGTTTTTCTGATTCAAAAATGTTTGTTTGAGCTAGGATATTATAGTTCTTAAAACACTTTTTTTTCTATTTTTTCAGGATTTGCCTCATACATTTCTTCGTTATCCACCTCAATTTTTAGAAAGTACAAGAAGTCATGCCGAAGCCCTCTAGTGTTCATAATCAGCGATACGGCTCGAGGTGACAACATTGTTCGAAAAGCACTCCCAAAAGATTTAAAAATTATGTTAGACATCCAAGATATTAGGTAATTGTAGAAGCCATTATTATCAGTATTTGTATCAGTTTTCCTTTTAACTAAACCAATAAAACATATTGGCATGATGAGGAATCAGTGTTAATTTTCTTAATATTTTTCGACGGTGGCCCATAATTAAGGAGGTGCATCCAACCTTACCCATAAAGAACACAATTCACATAATTAACTATCAAAATATTCCAAGTACTGCATCTACAATTTTTTTTGGTTCGATTAAAAATGATTGATATACTGTACATACTAATACCTATTATTAAACCAGGTGAAAATGTTCCATCACAACATGATAATTAATATAGAATAAGTAATTCTAATAGCGTACATATTCTCAGAAGCTGGTCTAGTATTGTCCTACCAAAACGGATTGAGTTGTTGGTGTTGATTACAAGTTTTTCGTTTCTGAGAGTTGCCATATATAATGATGATAATGCAAAATGTTTTGCACAGTTGAGATAAATAGTCCATTGATTACAAATTTTATGAAAGATTTTAATGCTTTAGTGTTCTTTCATCAGGGCTTGTTTTAAAGTTGAAATTAATATTCTTTTCCGTTTGGTACTTGCCATTTTCATTCTGATTGATTGCCATTTTATTTATTGCTATTCTGATTTAACCACTTTTGTGTATGTATGATATCCTCACTTTAAAGCATCCCGGCTTTAGATATGTACAAAATTGAAATCCAATTCGGTTTTTTGTACACAAATGAAAGTTGTCTCTAATTACTTAGCAAAGAAATGTCTTTACCTGGAATCCTTGATAATTGAACCAAAAGGATGCAAGTTGATAAAAAAAAACATACATCTTTGAAATACAACAAACGATTCAAATGGAAACATGTTTCAAAGTTCAGCATCCTATAATCAGTACACTACAACAGAAAACTTAAAATAAAAACCAAGCCTGTTTCTTCTAGACTATATGTAATTAACTGTTATGCTTGCATACGTTGTATGCATGTTAATTATAAGTTGAATATTAACAATTTCAAGTTTACTTATAATATGCAGTAGTGTATTTCAATCTTGTTGCTATAATTTCCATTGATGCAAATGAGTAAACACCATTGAAAAACTAATTATTTTTTAATTTCTTTGTGCTCATAGCAGTGTAGTAATCTTTTTGTATAAATACAGAAAAAATATCTAAATTGGACACAATCACAAAAATGTAATTCTATCTTTATTTTTAAAGACACATTTCTAGACATAGTATAAGCTAAATCATTTTTTTGGATGCTGAATTATAGTTAGCTTCTATTGCATTACTTATATATTCAGTAGAGTATTTCAATCAGTTGCTATAATTTTTATTGATGCAAATGAGTAAACACCAACAGAAATTTTGTTTCCATTTCTATGTGCTCAATACAGTGTAGTAATCTTTTTGAATACAGAAAAATATTTATTTAAAAAAAAATTAAATACAATCACAAAAAATAAATTTTATTTTTTAAATACATATTTCCAGACATAGTATAAGCTAAATCATTTTTGTGGATGCTGAATTATAATAGCTTCTGTATATTTTATATGCCTGCATTCTGTTCCACGTCTGATAAAATAAGGCGTTTATTTATGAAATTAATGACTAATGTGAATGTCTCTTTCAGTTTTAATCCAGTGGCGCAAACAAGCATGTGCAAAGTGCTGACAAGTATAGCAACATTTGAGGCAGCAAAGGTATGTCTTGTGGCTCCACAAGCTATATAAATAGATTGATGTTTTCAAGTACCATCCTATAAAATCAACACATAATGTTTGGTTTTGGTAAACAATATTCTGATAAGTTAAACGTATACCCTTTGTCCACAATAAATCTCCATTGTAGAGAAAAATAAATTGGATATACTGTAAAAACAATAAATTAATTACCTCCCTTAATATCAGATAAGACACAGTCCCACGGTTTGTTTATGTTGAAAATTAAGATAGAGACGGTTATCATCTGTAATAGTCTGGTTAACAAGATAAGGAGTGTGTTAGCCTGTGACAGCCTTCGCAGACAATGGCTACTTGTGGCTGAACAAGCTCCAAAATGGCGGAAGTTTACTTGAAGCTTTTATAAATACCTTTCGTGTAACAATATACAAACAATAAAACCTATCAAAATAATAGCTCATTTATGCTGGTATTAGGCTAAACTTCATTTTGTTGTGTTGAGAACAAAAATCTAACCTTTTCTTTACTGATTCTTTTCAATTGTATCACTGAAATGCATCTGTCAATGTGTCTGATCTGTTAATAAAGAATTTCTCAAGGTAAAATCTTACAAGAGGCCTAATTGAGATATAGTCTAATAAAAATAAATTCTTAATTTGATTCCTTTTCAACAATTCTATTAGTATTAGGCAAATGCTTAGCCTACTGGCTAGTTTGACATAAGTCAATTATTTGTAAAAATTAATAGATTTGGGCATTTTTGATTAAAGAAAATACTGTACTGCACTGTGAAATACCATTGTTGACAAGACCAGTTTAGCTCAGTTAACAGACTATCAAAATGGTATTGAAGCCTGTCTGTTAAATTTTAATACATAGCAGCTCATAATTGCATATCTCCAATTTGCTGAACAGAACATTCCTGTTTAATTTTAGTCATTTATTTGTCTCAAAACAAAATATAAAGGAAAAACAATAAGGTTTCGTAGCAGGTAAGTTAAAATGCACAAAGTTTTATTTTGTGTTCATGTTCGTTTTTTTCTGAAACTTAAATCATTTGGAATTGATTGATTTTTTAAAATTTCATATTTTTAAGGGAAGTTGTCAATTCCAAGTGCCTTGTAAGTCTACTATTGATGCTTTATCAGCTGCCAGTGCTGGGGATATCAGAGGTGCAATCAATGCTCTGCAGTTTGCTTGCTTAAAAGGTTGCTGAACGCTTGGAATTTTAAAGTTATATGCTAACCTCGCTCTGCAGTTTAAAACATAGACTTATATTATTTCATGTTGGTGATACCTTCATCTGTAATATATATTCATCATATATGTACAATAGAATTAGTATATTCTAAAAGCATTGTGTGTTTATATTTTCTACTGATACAAGTACTTTAAAGTCTTTGTTTGATGGGAGCAGAAAGTGTGACTCCACTCTAGCAAGAAAATCTTATAAAAGTACAAAAAGCAAAAATACAAAGCATACAAGAATGTCTAACAGTCAAGGCGGAAGTAAATGGAGAACTAAACAAACAGAGGATGAAAAAGAAGGGAAGGATCTAGTGGCAATAGGGGGCAGGGATACGTCCATGTTTCTATTTAGAGCACTAGGAAAAATCCTTTACTGTAAAAGTGAGTGATTGTTAATAACTATGCTGTGTAAATTGCACATATTAGATGTCATATTATTATGTACGTGTACAAATTTAAGAACTCATCATTCAAGAATTATTTAAAAGAAAAAAAAACATTATTTAAATACCCAGTTTCAAACCATTTATTTAAAATTTTAAAAAGGAAGAATATTTTTCCAAAATACAAATTAATTTATACTGTAGATACAAAATTTGTAGATACAAATTATAAATTAACATATTTTTATTTTTGTTTTCTATAATATTTTCATTGACATTTCTTTATTCACCGGTACCATATGCTAGACGAGAATTGGATGTCTGCCCTCTCCGCGGGCGCTTGTTGCAGTTATAGGTCTAAACACCAGGGGTGGTGCCAGTGAGCGGACCAAGCCCCCTGTCGGGGAGAAAAGCCAGATTTTGTTGTGGATAAAAAAAAAATTATATGTATTATCTACATATAAGTAGACTCTAAAATTGATTAAATGAGCCACTGAAACCCCTAAATTGTCATAATTTTCCCCTGGATCACTTTTCAAACATTTTGAGCAAGGCCTGACGATGCCCACTTTGCTCTCGTCAGGGACATCGGCACACCGTCAGGGATCTTGGTACCCCCATTGGGCAAATCCTGGTGCCGCCCCTGCTAAAAACACTATCCCAGAATTCATCGCGGTGCGCGAAACATACTGTACAGGTTGTTTTTAGCTTTTGCACATAAGAGTTAGTAATGATGTCACAATTGACTTGTAAATGGAATTATTGCACAAATTATTGAACTATAACAACTGCTATAAATTCCTTACATAAATTCCTTAAATTTATCTCTTCAGCGAAGACTGAAGTGATTTTCTTGAAAACGTCAATGTTTGTTTTTACTCATTTGCAAATTCTGTGCAAATTAATGCCATGGCTTTGAAGTGTATGTGATGATAGGTTGCTTGTAGCTTTGTCGTATATAATAAACATGTTTATTTTGCACAGGGTTTCCAAAACTAACAGTTAAGTAATCAAAATGTGTATTTTCAGATTGGTATCTATTTATATACATGTTTACCATGTAGGTATATGACCGTTTTTTTCTTTTGATGTAGGAGTTAAACCAAAGATTGATGCAGATAAGCAACATATACCACCTCATTTGCAACATCATGACAGAGATAACTTGAAGTTTAACCCGGAGGTAAATATTTGTTTAGTTTCTAATTTCTATTAATAAATTTTTATCGTGGATATTAAAAGAAAATATAATCCTACGTGCAGTCTTTGATTCACCAGCGGGTGACTAAGGTCAATTGTCAGAGTGAAAGTCTTCTTAAATGTTAATCCCTTTTAATAATGAAAAATATTAAAAAATTGACAAATTGTGAAGCCTGGTGGTTATGTTTACATCTGTTAGCCTCCTTATTTCAAATAGTACTGTGGTCATCACTACTATCTATATTTATTTAATTATATTTCATCTCAACTAGTGATAATTATAAATGGTGGAAATTTTTTAGAGAAAAATAAAAGGTGACAAAATTACAAATGACAAATACCACCCAGGATGGAAATGGTAATTGCAACAATGATTATCAAAAATAAATAATTAAAAAAAAAACTACATATTTTTTTCCCTACAATACATTTATTTCTTGTACTTTTACCATAACAGCTAAAAAAACATATAAAATTAAATTTGACCACTATATTATACCTTAGGATTGGAATTCAAACACCTTTTATGGCCAGGCTACAGTACCACTTATGTTATAGTTGTCATTGTTATATTTTGAATATTATATTAATCTTCACTGTCTTTTTTTAGGATATTATTTGTCAAACTCAAATAAGTAGCGATATGTTCAACCTCTACTTGCATCAGAACTACCTTGAGTTTTACACTCGAGTGGATGATGTAGTACGAGGAAGTGAGTATCTAACTAGTGATGCAGATCTAATTTCTTCTAATTTTTCAGTAAGTGAAGTAGCAAATATGAAAAAAAAAATCTTACTTTTATTTTACGATATATTAGTACTCTACTAAACGTTTTGCCTACATAATTAAAAAATAATATGAAAATATTATTTAGTATTGAAAATTATGGTTTATTTTCTACTATAATGGTTTTATGAATTGTCAGTTACAAGCAATGTGGAACAAAACATATATTTGTGATTGTTATAAAAATCGTGGTGATAATATAACATTTTGAAAAATGAAACCAGGCATGTATACATGTGTATTTATGAAGTATATTTTATATTGTATATATTATTTATGATTCTATAATTCAGTAAATATCCATAAATGTCGTAAGTAATTCTGACTCCACTCTTTCTAGCATCGTAATATTTTATATTGTATATATTATTTATGATTCTATAATTCAGTAAATATCCATAAATGTCGTAAGTAATTCTGACTCCACTCTTTCTAGCATCGTAGTATTTTATCGGAGTATAGCAGTTGCATAGCAACAAGAGGTTTAATACATTGTAACTCATCCAGGAGTCAACAGAATACAGCTACAGATTGGTATCCTTTGCTGCTTTTACAGGGCAAGGGTTGAAAGATTGAATGAAAGAGACGTTGAAACCATGGAAGGGGAAGATTCCTGCTCTCAGCTTTCTACGGTTTACAATGATTGTAATGATATGGACAGCACTCTGAAGTCAAATGTATATGATAACGATATAAAAGTATATTTTATATTGTATATATTATTTATGATTCTATAATTCAGTAAATATCCATAAATGTCGTAAGTAATTCTGACTCCACTCTTTCTAGCATCGTAGTATTTTATCGGAGTATAGCAGTTGCATAGCAACAAGAGGTTTAATACATTGTAACTCATCCAGGAGTCAACAGAATACAGCTACAGGTGGCATGGGAAGGAAACCTCTTCATAAACCACAATGGTGGCAGGTTGCCAAACAGGTAATACACATGTACCCTGTAAAGTTTATGATAAGGTATTGTAATGACACTCAATAAAATTGTGTAATTTGAACTTACTTAGCAAATGGGCACATTGACCTCATGGTTTTATTTTGTTTACACACACAACTATTACCGTATTTATGCCACATTAATTCACCAATGAATAACAAAGGTATACCATCACAACCTTATCAATTAATATATATTTATAAATGATATTGATAAGATTAATTATGCTTATAACAAGGATTTATAGATCATTAAAAATATATATAATTTAATAGACCAATAGACAAGTGTTTTTTTTATATTTCTGAATTTTTGTGATACTGATTTAATTTTAAACTCAACATGCTAAAGGTATTGTCAGGCTACTTTAGCAGTATGCCTATATTTAATGCTTGAATAATTTTTTATATTAACAAAATGAATTCAGATTTTTAAAAAAATTGATAACTTATCTTTTATTGTGAATAAAGATTCTATAGATAAAAAGAGAAGTATATATGTATTACCTAACCATGTTTAACTGAATAATTAGTGTATGATTGTTGAATATTTCAATGAATTTATTGTTTTTAGTATTTTTCACTAGATCAAATTTTCCTTCTTCGAGAACTGAATAGCTTTTTAACATCAACAAGGTAAGTTAACAAGGCTTCTATTAAAACACTGTATAATAAACTCTTTTCATCAACTGACATATATTTATTTTACTGAAAATAAATGTTGTTAATTATATAATATGTCCTAACAAACAAAGTGAGAATGTCAACACTTACAAAAAAATGTTGTAAATCATTGTTATATTATTATTTTTCAAGAAAATATTATCGATGTAAATTCAATATACTGATTGTATGTAATTGTAGATAATCACACTTAAATGTTGTGCTCGCTCACTTTTAGGTTCTATTTTTTAATGAATTTTTTGAATATAAAATTATAAATTATTTCATAATTTGATATTTATATTAGCTACTATCCAGAAATTTCTAACCTATACGTCCATCAGCAGATAGGAAGAAAGATATTTTCATCATTGTATAAATAAACCTGTTCATAAAACTGATTGGTATCCTTTGCTGCTTTTACAGGGCAAGGGTTGAAAGATTGAATGAAAGAGACGTTGAAACCATGGAAGGGGAAGATTCCTGCTCTCAGCTTTCTACGGTTTACAATGATTGTAATGATATGGACAGCACTCTGAAGTCAAATGTATATGATAACGATATACACATTGGAGATTTTGATGATGATAACAACATAGATGATTTTTATGAAGATGATGATTGGTGAAAGACATTTTAATGAGCTTTACAGAAATTGAAGGAAGATATTTAACAAATATAGATTATTATTTCCATTCAGAATTCTTGTAGAAATTTGTCAGAAACTTTTGAATTTCAAAGCCCAGCATCTTTGAAGGAAAAATATATGTTTTACAAAATGATTTTCTATGGCCCTTTTCTGCACCTCTTTCTCCACCCCCCCCCCCTTGTTTTTAATATTAAAGACAGGCTCCGGAGGAAAAAAAATTGTTGATATATTTTACAACTTATTTTTATAAGACACAAAAAAAGGTGTTTGAGGAAAATAAATTGTTTGAGGAAAAGAAATTGAAAAGGGGCGTAACCATCATTTTCCACATTGTGTTCCTCTGGAGCTGGCTTTAATCTATAACATATTAGCTGTTGCCGATTATTTATTTAGTAGTGTCTTAAAAAGTCCATTTGTATAACATATCAAATCCAGAGCCTGGCCTTTAAGAAATACATTATATTTATCTACAAGCATAAATTTCCTACTACAGAGACACTGAGTTGTGAGCTTCCTGTTTTTTTTTTTTTTTAATTATTATTATTATTGATATTAAATGTTAATAACTTAAATCTTCTTTACTTACTTTAAGTCATGGTTTTTTTTTTTTAATTATTATTATTATTGATATTAAATGTTAATAACTTAAATCTTCTTTACTTACTTTAAGTCATGGTTTCTTTTTTTTTTTTTTTTCACAAGACACTACATCTATAAGGTAAATCACACATATTATGTTGTCGGTTTAGGGTCGCCTTAAAACGACCATTCTGTTTACAGATAGTTTTTTGAGTGGGCTTAGGATCGCATTGCGAGTGTTCACATTTCGTATTTGCGCCGGGTCAATGAATTGCAGAACAAGAAATTCGAGGCATACCGCCTTAATTTGCCTCTTTACTTGATTGGCTGTACAATCAAAACATTCCTCTGCCATCCTCCCACTTACCTCCCTATACACCACAGTATTTTTGAAACTCCCCCATTCATTTGCTGTTGTATTTCCTCCATTTACAAGCTAAAATACACCAACCCGAACACCTTACCATTTACTTCCCCTTGAAGAATTTGGCAACATTTTTTCCTGTACAATTTTGTGTGAGAAATTGTATTACTACCAAGAAGAGCTTGGCAACCCAGGTTCAGTTTACCTTCAAATATGAAAATGAGTTGGCCCAGGTTTCGAATTGCGTGACCATGGCCAACTTTAAAGTCAGAAAAAATTTAGGTCGCCTGTGGGCGGATTTAAAATTTATTGATTGTTCACACTTAAGAAAAGGTGGCCATGAGGAGGTACCCCGTAACTGTTAAGGGTGATTGGGCTGTATGACCATGACTATCAGTCAAAACACAAAAAAACACCTCAAAAAGATATATTTTAAAAAAAAGGCTCATTAAAAAAATCAAGTAAAATATTAGCTTACACCAAGAAACAGATCGAAAAAAAAAATAAGTTTTTTTTTTCTGTTTCTTAGTGGATCGTATTAAGTTATTTGGTGTATGGTAAAAATCGCCTCCGAAGATTGGCCCCGGAAAAATGGCCTGGTAAAAGTGGCCTGGTAAAATGTGACAATATTTTATTTTGTTTGCTCAAAATTCTATAGCAACGCTTGCAGGAGAAATGTGCCCCCAACCCCATTTTGACACAAAATTTCTAAAATTTAGTGCATAGGTATCAGTGTTGTGTTACTCAAATATTCTGAGACTGTTGTACCAAGGGCTGTAGCCACGAGAATTGAACTGGTCAAGTTTTGGTGGAAGTGAGCATTGAGGCTGAGGTGGGTGGGGGGGGGGCGCCAAGGGCCTCCAGACGGGGTTCAAAGGGCCCAGGAAAAATTTGCTGTTTTTCCATTGTATACACCAATTTTAATGATGTTCTGTAGTAGTAATCTAATACATCGTTTAAAAATATTTTTTACTGAAAATTGTTTTTTTTTTTAAATAATATCAGGGCTATGATGAAGCAAAACAATAAAAGCACTTTAATTCAAAACGGGCAGGTTTATTCAAGAGAAAGTTTGTTAATCTCAGCATTGGTGTTATTTTAGTATTTTGCCTTTTGGCATTGAAAAAAAAATCTAAGATTAGACCTATGAACGAAAAGCAGTATTGCTATGACATTTAAGAAAAGGTATATTTACAGTATATTTATTTATAGAAAATAATGTTGCATACTAAAACAATCAAGAATAAATATACAGTACAGATAAAAGCATAATCTTTTCTTGTCAGTTGACTAGGTAATTTAGTGAAGAAATGAATATATTAGTCGTAGGCAAGTGTATAAGGGAACATTTAATTCATAATTCAATTTTTAGTCTGAGAATTTTTCTACTAGATTTGGATAAAAGCTAAACCCATACAGACACTGGATTTCAACTCAAGAAAAAATGCATCCTAGTTTCATAATCGGTATAAATCTTACACTAAAAGAAAAAATAATGTAAACTCCCATAAACCGTTTGCACCAGAGTTCACAGATTTGTGGTTCCTGAGTTAAGTCAATAGAGAGATTTTTGAGTAATACATTGGAATTTAGCCTTTATTCCTGTTCACAACCTAAGCAATTAACTTGTGGTGTGTCAAAAAGTGCTCAGGTGGAAACTTGGCCAACCGTACCCGTGCCTATGGCCTTGGTACCCCCGTTTGACAAATTATGGATCCGTACCTGGACTGCAGGTGTCATATGCATTATCTACTGTATATTTTAAGATTCAAAATAATTTATTGCAAACTTAAGGAAAATTTGAAATGTACAAGAAATGTATATTTGTCACAGTGCATACACGGAAATGTCTTGAACACAAAGGCTGATATAGTACCAATGTTTTATACAGTACTACGGCCCTAATTCTGACCTGAAAATAAAGGCCGATGACTATTTCTGATTTACTATCAACACTGCAGTACCCGCTGCTTACTTGGACTCGAATTCAACCATGGCCATCAGGCGCAAGCTCGGTGGTCTAGAGGTATAATGCCAGGCTGGTGATCTGGAGATCGTGGGTTCGAGTCCCACCCGAGAACAACTTGCGATTTTTTTTCGAAATTGTTTTCAAACGTACTGAGTATTCAGTACATTTCCACGTCAGCTAGGGCAAAATTACACCTATACATGTTTCTCCTGACGCAAATTCAGTTATTGTCTATTCCATCACGACAATAACAATTACTATCAACACTGCAGTACCATTACGTGGACTCGAATTCAACCCTGGCCATCAGGCGCAAGCTCGGTGGTCTAGAGGTATGATGCCAGGCTAGTGATCTGGAGATCGTGGGTTCGAGTCCCACCTGAGAACAACTTGTTTGTACTGAGTATTCGGTACATTTTCACGTCAGGTAGGGCAAAATAATAATAATAATAATAATAATAATATTAATAATAATAGTGTTTTTAATTGGAATAAATGAGTAACGTTTTTTTTTAGTCAAGATACTTTCTCTAATCACATCCACCGAATAGATGCTATGCCGTAAACTCTTGCCCATAATAATCAATACACTGTTAATAAATAGAATTTGCCACAGATGTATTTCTTTGTTATTTCTCATCCTGACCTTCGCCCTGACAAACGGTGTGAAGGACTTGATTTGCGCATTTCCCGAATCATTAATATGTTTTGCAAAACTTTGTTGTTAATACCATCAACTTTATATTCATCAAGCATGTAATAAGAATAGAAGTAAGTAATATATTTTGCTGGTACTCAAAAGTTTTTCAATTTTTGATGTAAAATACAGAGTATGCATGATGCAAGTCATATTTTAAGAATACTTTATATTATTGAGTATTTTATATAGTATTTTTAACTCTAAATATTAACTCTAAATACTTCCTTGGACTAGAAAAAAATAACGGTAGAAAAAAACAAATTAAAAAAAATAAAAAGGCAAATGGTACATACGCCCAAACAACTAAAGACATACTAGCCGAAGAAGTTAATTACTTTGAGAATTTATACTCCAATAAAAATATAGATAGGAATAAAATTCATGAATATTTAAAATCATGTAAATCACCAAGAGCAACAATCATGTGAAGGTGAAATCTCCATTGCAGAGTGCTAAAACGCAATGCATAAAATGAAAATTAATAAAGCACCTGGCACAGATGGACTTACGGTAAAGTTTTACCGTTTTTTCTGGCCAAAAATAGGGTCCTTAGTGTGTAAAAGTCTAAACTAGGGGTTAGAGATAGGGAAACTATCACATACACAAAAAAGAGGGGTTATAAACCTGGTCTTCAAAAAAGGCGAGCACGAGGATCTTAATAATTGGAGGCCCATTACCCTCTTAAATGTCGATTATAAAATTGCCGCCTTTGTTTTATCAAAAAGACTTCAAAATGTAATTAAAAAAATAATGAATAATGACCAAAAAGGTTATATTGAAGGTCGCTTTGGTGGCGAAAATGTCAGGCTTATAAAGGATTTACTTGAATATATGGATAATGAAAACCAAACTGGTGCAATTATAAGTATTGATTTCAGTAAAGCTTTTGACACTGTAAATAGAGAATTTCTTATTAATACACTTTATCGTTTCAATTTCGGGGCATCATTTATAAAATGGGTAAAAGTTCTGTACTGTAGCACTGAGTGCATTGTAATGAATAATGGTTGCTGCTCAAAGAGATTCAGTATGCACAGGGGTATTAAAAGGGTTTCCCTTTGTCTGCTCTCCTCTTCATCATGGTAGCCGAAGTCATGGCGTTAAAAATAAGAAATGATGTAACGATTGTGCTACCAAATACAGGCAATTGCGATAATGAAGTAATTATCTGATGACACAGTTTTATTTATTAAAGATGAGAAAAGTATAAAAAAAAGTTTAGATAAAATAGTTAATTTTGGAAAGGTTTCTGGTCTTCAATTAAATAAAAAAAGAAAAACGCCATGTGGTTAGGCCAATGGAAATTGAGGAAATGTAGTCCATTTGGTATTAAATGGACAAGTGGTTTCAACATTCTTGGAATATTTGTTGGCCATGACAAATCTATATGTAATTAAAAAAAATTGGTATGAAAAAAATCGAATCTCTAAAACATATTCTTAATTTATGGCGTAAAAGGAATTTAACTTTATTTGGAAAGGTTATAATTTTACAACAATTAGCGTTAGCAAAGCTGGTATACAATTCTAGTATTTTAGAAACCCCCGAATTTGTCTTAAAACAAGTGGACAATAATCTATGACTTTTTGTGGGATAAAAAAACGGAAAAAATATAAAGATTAACTCTCATAAACAAATATGAACATGGTGGTATAAAAGCACCCGACTTCAGGTCTCAAGTGCAATCTTTCAACATATCATGGGCTAGACGTCTTTTCAATGATGAAACGTCTAAGTGGAAAATATTGCCATCTAAGTATTTTAAAAGAATTGGCCCACAATATGTTATTGAAAATATGTCACACTTAAATGTAAAAAAATGCGAAGGTATTCCTAGTTTTTATATAGGTGTATTAAAGGCGTTAACTAGTTTTAACGAAATTATAATGAAATACCCAACATGTTACAAGGAAATACTCGAACAAAACATTTGGGGAAATAAAATGATAACTTACAGTGGTCTATCACTATTGTAGAGAAACTGGGTAAGGTCAGGTGTAAGAAAAATCAAAGATATTGTGCTTGGAAATAGATTTATTCAATCGAACGAATTATTAGAAAAGTTATCTACTGAATCAAATTGCATATCAGAATATCATATTGTGTTAAAGGCCATTCCTCATGAATGGAAAGATGTGATTTTTTCACAAAATGAGAATGCAGAGCAAGAGAAACCTTTGCTTGTTACAAAACTGTGTAACACAAAATGCAAACAAACGTATAATAGTTTTGTCGAAAGAAAATGTATAGAACCGAAATGTCAATTAAAATGGGAATTGTATTTTAATACTACAGTTGATTGGATGTTAACCTGGAAAAGAAAAGTAAAAATGATTAGAGAAAACAAACTCAAACAAGTAAATTTTAAATTATGACATAGAATTATTCCCACTAGGAAAAGATTATGTATATGGAAAATTATAAACTCAAACACATGCTTACAATACAACCGTGTTGAGGATGATGCACATTTATTTTATGAATGTGCAGAAGCCAGTAATCTATGGCGTTACATTAATGAACTTACCTCAAAGAATTACAATATTGAGGCAAACTTTAAAAACATAGTACTTGGTACTGGGAATACGTATATAGACAATTTGTTTTCATTAGGTTTATTTTGCATATATAAAGTAAATGTTTTAAAACAAATTAATAAATGGAAATTTACCCCAGTCTATCAACTGTTTATTGTTGAAAAAAGTATAAGAAAGTACATTAAATAGGCCTATACGAAAATAATATATTTAAAAATGTACTTGACCAACCTCAATATGTACAGTGTAATGCTTTTTTTAATCGATCAGTTAACTTTACACATGGATTTACAGTGATTTGTTTTTTTAATTAATTTTTAATTTCTTTTAAATGTCTTTTTAACGTCTTGGACGATCTACATGGGTGCTATTTATTACTTTTAGATCCACTAAATAGCGCATAGAAAAGCTAATCTAAATGATCGATCGATTAATTGATTGATTAATTGATTGATTGATTTATTGATCGATAAATGCTGCATTTACATTTTATATAACAATTTTATCACATTTGTTTTCTGCAAAGTATAATAATTTCACCCATTCTGAGAAACTGATATGCAGTAGCTGTTTATGCCAGATATGATTTGTGAATAAAAGTGGGACGACCCCACAAAAGATAAAAAATATATATATTTAGTTGTTGTTATCAAATATTATTATATTTCATCGTTTTTAACATTATTTAATAGATATCATATTTATGGTAAAAAAAATGTAGAGGGATGTTATTAAAAAATATCACATTTTTTATGAAAAACCTAAAATCATATGAAATAGAACAATCGCTTTTTAAAATTTCAGTTTAATTAGATTAGGAAAAAATCGAAATATTTGCATGTTCTTTTTATAAAATATAATTATGTTGTGATATACATTTTATTATTGTTACTATGACCATGATATGGGTCCAAGGTGACCCAAGTATATAATTTTAGTGTATTTTTTCAGATTAAAATCAGAAAAGTAAAAAAAAATATTCCAGTCGTGAATCCAGCAATTTGCTGTACACTGTTTATGTAGGCCTATAAAAATCATTAACTTGAAATTGTCAGTTTGAAAGTTTTAATGTTACTGATTTGTATAAGAAGATAACTGGGCCGACCCAGAAATTCGTTTTGATTTCAAGTTTGCGTAATAGGATTTTAACCTCTCGAATACTAGCACTTTATTATTTTTAAAAATATTCTGATTTTAGTAGTAAATGATAAGTAATGTGGAAAAAAAACAATATATGAAATGTAAGCCACCCTCCTTTTATTATGATTGACAGAGCAATTGGCAGTGGCGTAACGACGAGACATTGGGCCCGGGGGCCCTTGCATGTTTGAAAAGTATTCACTGACGAAGTGACCAGGGTGGGTAATTTAGAATTAACTTTAAAGATAAAAAAAAGAGTTTTAAGACTATTTAATTATTGGACAATGTAAAAAAAACCCGTGTGACTATTTAACAATATAGGGCCTAATCAACTAATATTTTGCATACTCACATATATTTAATTTGAATATTTTCGTGTAACGTATACTTTTGGTCTATGCATAAATCGTAAATCAATGATCAATTGGGTCTATGCATAAATCGTCAATCAAAATAACGTTATTTGGAAAGGCAATTTTTTATGTCGATCGGACGACATCGTCATAACTTCAGACAACAGGAGGTATAGGCTGTCCGACAGGGGAAAATTCTCCTCCCCCACCCCGCTGGTGCCACCACTGAAAGGGCCCCAGTCTCAGAAATCCAGAAGGCCCCCATCGTTGCGTCACTGCGCTTAATCATGAACGTATTATGAAAGTTCTAATGAAACTTTGCCAACATAAAAGAGCGTTATTAGCAATCATTCAATCAATCGTTATCAGGGCGGACCCAGGGAGCACGGGGTAACCCCAACCTCCAAAAATACAGAAAAAAAGATAAAGAATGTCCAATTAGCGTAAGCCTAATCCAGAATAAGCTAATTTTCGATTTGAAAATCGTTTCAGGGGTACTATTTCAGTTAATAGGAAGGATCCTAAGCAAATTGGAAGACACTTTTAAGTGTCTTCCAATTTGCTTAAAAGCAATTGGTTCCTAGCAAAAAGAACATGAATACTGTAAAAGTTTTAAACCTAACCAATGTTGAACTGTTACTGATGCGCATCGAATTTTCGAAATTTTTAATGAATACTTTTGTACCATTGGTGAAAATTTATTTAATAAAGTTGAAAATAATAATTGTATTACTCATGACTCGACCGTGTTTGTTTATTCTGATATTAGTTGTAATCTTTTTGATGACGATCTGATTGACTCAGTGAATAATGTATCTCATTCCTAATTTTAATCTTAAATTTGAAGATATTTCTAGTGATGATGTGTATATTGCTCTGTCTAAATTAACAGTTAATCAATCTCCTGGTTTGGATGATCTCAGCCCTAGGCTCCTCAAGGCAGCTGCACCATGCATCTCCGAACAGATTACTTATATTTTGAATTTGTCACTTGCCCAGGAAGAGGTACCCACCGATTGGAAGCTTGGTAAAGTTATACCCATTTAAAATGTGGTGGGGGGGGGGGGGAAGAGGCGCACAAAGAAAATTGTGAACATTACCGACCAATCTCAGTACTTCCCTCTCTACTGAACATTCTTGAACGTCATATTCATAACCAACTCTATGAATTTCTACATTCAAATCATCTTATTTCCCCCAACCATTCCAGCTTCCGTCCCCTTCATAGCACAGCCACCACTCCTGTAAATGTTACCGATTATAATTATACTCAATAATACTGACAAAGACAAAGGTTTCAGTTTCAGTTTCAGTTTATTTTCCAAAATCTAACATTTTCATGTATTGATCAAAGGAAGGATGACCAACAAAAGAGCAGAGCTCGTATACCACTGGCCACCTAAACAAACTTATTGACAATTACAAGGACAAACATAACGTGATACAAGACACAGTGACAAAAACATTTTGGCAGGATATGAACTAAATAAAAGTATGCATGAATGTAAACATATAAAGGATCCTTATTGATATGTTAACAACAAATAATTTTTATACATCATTTTGAACATTTTGACAGATATTGAATTACGAATAGAAGCATAATATTATTCCATAGAATCGGACCATGCCTTCGGATAGTATTTCTGGCCATATCGGTAACAAACGTATGTGGACGGTACATATCAGTGGACCTGGTACCATAATCATGAACTGATTTTACTCTAACAAAATAATTTGAAAAATTAACTGGTAATAAATTATTTTTAAATTTATATATAAAAATACCTTTAGATAACTTATGAATGTCATACACAGTTAAATTTTTAAGACTGTAAAATAACGGTGGTGAATGTTCATGGAATTGTGAATTTGTACATAGACGCATTATGCGTTTTTGCTTGCGATAAACAGTTTCAAGACAGCAATTATTACGATCAGTCCAAATCAAAGTACAATATTGGATATGAGGAAGAACTAAGGTCTTATATAAAGATGATAAAACATTAACATGTAAGATTGGCTTTAGTCTGCAGAGAATACCAGAATATTTTGAAACTAAATTTGCAATATAAGTTATATGTTAACTCCGAGTTAAACGTTCATCCATTATTAAACCAAGAAATTTGCAGCTAGTGACACGCAAAGTATTATTACCATCAATAGTAATATTAAGGTCCTTGTAAGTACGGTTACTATATCCATTTCTAAAAATCATATAGTTGGTTTTATTAACATTAAGTGATAGTTTTTTCCTTATTAAACCAGCATGAAATAATAGAAAGATCGTAATTGACATTCTCAACTAGAGAATTTAAATTATCATCAGAAATTAATAAGTTTGTGTCGTCGGCGAATAGAATAATATTTGAGTGCTTACATATGTAGGCCAAGTCATTTATGTAAATAATAAAGAGTAAAGGGCCTAAAATTGAGCCTTGGGGGACACCACAACAAGTATTTGAATAGGATGATTTATGGTGGTTAAAAGAAGCATATTGCATTCTATCACTAAGATAACTGTTGAACCACTCAAAGGTGATACCACGAATACCATAATGATGCAGTTTACAGAGAAGAATCTTGTGATTTATGGTATCAAATGCCAATCAGCATGGAATTGAGCCTCTTCCGTTCCTGCTGCATGGATGTAGGTAGGTGTGGAACAGCAACAACCGTCTTCCCAGCAACGTTCAGCTTAGCGCGGGAAATACAATTCAAAACAGCCTCACGATCCTTCATTTTCAGAAATTTGGCTATGATGGGCTTAGTCGCTGTCTCGGACTTTGTAGGCAGACGGTGGACATTTGTAAATTCAATGTCGTTCATATCAGTGGTGTTAACTTTAGTCAAAACACGTAGATGTTACGTATAACATTCTCAGTATCCTCATTTGTACTAGATTGAGGAATGTTAAAAAATAACAGGTTTGCTTTTTTACTGTAAATCTCAATTTCTAGCCTGCTAACTTTCAGCTCATGAATTTTCTCGTTTAAATCCGACTCCAGCTTAGGAATTATTTCCCCCTTAATTTCCTGCATGTCTTCGTCCATATGCGTCACCCCTTTCTCCAATTCAACCATATCAGTTTTAATACCATTAATGTCTGCATTCATTTTGCTCATTAAATGAGAAGATAGCGCGTCAAATCGTGAGTTCATATCAGCGTCCAGTCTGGTTAACAATGCATGCAATGTATGCATATTTACAGCCTCGGCGTTCACAGGTGGCTGGTTCGAATGGCTACTACGGGATCGTCTACTAGCCTCATTGGTAAGCATGTTAACGTTAAAATTTGTAAATTATATCAATTAAAGGAGACAAGATTTAATTCACAAATAATATTTGTATAATATATTGAGACCCACTACAATTAAAAAATACATAAAGCGGGATATAGTGTCCATAAGTTGGTCAGATTTCAGATAATCACCGCAGCACCTATCATCCACGTCCTCTCTCTATGACATGTTGTGTACGTTAACAGGTGCAATATTTCTTGACCTTCAAAAAGCGTTCGATCAGTCCATCACCCTACACTTCTTAATAAACTCAGTTAAACTGGTTTACCTCCTACCTGACTGGAAGGAGGCAGGCCATTTCCGTTAATGGCGTTATTTCTGAACCTGCTTTTATTCGGTGTGGTGTCCCCCAGGGATCAATATTAGGACGGTTATTATTTATTATATATATTAATGACCTTACCGAGTCTGTAAAACGTTCTAAAATTACTATGTATGCTGATGACACGGTTATTATTTTATTCCTCAAATTCGTTAGACGATATTCAAAGCACTCTTCATCTTATGTTGATAGTGTATGTGAGTGGTCAAAAATAAACAAACTCTCGTTAAATACTGACAAGACAATGTCTGTCTTGTTTGGTTCGAGGAGAAATCTACATGGGTGCAGCTGATCTTTAATCAAATTTGCAACTCCGCCATTTAAGCTCTTAATCATTTCAAATATCTTGGTGTTTGTTTGGACCCTTCCCTCTCTTTGGAAACACACGTGGATAAGTTATGTATAAGAAGGTTAATAGCAGGATGGGTGTTCTAGGAAGAATCCGCAGATACATCAACACCAGAACCCCTAATCAACTTTATACATCTTTTATCTTACCTGTATTGGATTATGGGGATAACCTAGGAAAGAGATTATCAGACAAAATCCAAAAGTCTCAAAATAAGGCTGCGCGACTCATATTGAGAACTGACATTAGAACCAACGTTGGTAACTATGCCAATGTCTCGGATGGTCAATTCTCTCCTAAAGGAGAGAAAAACATATACACTTAATTTGGTTAAAAAATGCTTGAATGGCGGAGTTTCCATATATCTTAATGACGTGTTTACCCCATTGGACAGAGTTCATAACCTCTACACTAGATCGAGCTGGTGGATGTTTAGACTTGCCACAAGTCTCTAATTATAGGTTTTCCTAGTTATATAGTTAAGTTTTGGAGAGCGCC